AAAAAACAAGCGCGCGCGGAAAAATAGTCTTTGCATTTGCTCACGTCAGCAGCGTACACCCATGGGCAAATGGGGGACGCTAAATTGACCAATCAGAGCGCGCGCTTTACTTTGGTTATGTTATAATTTTCTTTGTTTCACAGCGTTGTATCCGGTCTAAAACTCGTCAGGCGCGTAGCGTGGTCATTTTTTCAAGTGCGCACAAATACATATGATCTAGGAACCTTGGTAAACTGAGCAAAAAATACTGCTTCTTTATTTCTTGTTCGAAATAGTTGTGTGAATACAAGCAAAGAACAAAGCGTCTTGCCCTTATTGTGAGCAAACTTGGCGCAAACACAACATTGTTTTCAAAATTTTCTGGTCACTTCAAGTACGCACGTGCGTATATGCGTATAGGGACGCTACGCGCCTGCTCCTGCTTATGTTCGTGAGGAATTGCGTGAAAAAAGTATCGATGGAGAGGAGGGTACCCAACAAGAAAAAAAAATTAACTCATTAACAACAAGTACACCTTTATTTGCAATGTCAATGGTTACATACAGAATAAAAAAAACAACTCAATGACTGGAAGAAAAATAAACATTCTTTTTAAGGCACCACAATGGCTGAAAACACTCTTTCCTTGGCACTTGCAAAGAGAAAAATCATTTATAAAAATGGAGACCGTAGATTTTTAGGCAAGAAGCAGCACTTATTTTTAAAGATCAATAAATTGTCAGAAATCAGAAACTCGACTCCCTTCCCCCCCATCCTCCCCCTAAAAAATCTTTCGGTCAAAATTCGTTTGCGCTAATTTGGCTTATGTTGCAAACAACAGCCAAATACCTTGAAAAAAGATGGAAATATGACGGATATTCGCAGAAATAAGAACCACAGAGAAATGAGAGTAAACGCATTCTTGGTTTTGAGAACAGGTACCAAAAAGTTACCCTCCGCTCATAATTTATTCATTAGTTGTGAACCGCCGGTTGAAAGGCTCACTAGTCGCCCGCATCTGGCGATCATAACGAAAAAAAAAAAGGAAGGGAAAATTCAAACAGAAGTAAATATTGTAAAGAACACAAAATTATCTCCTAGTTTAAACAGGGGAAGCGACGATTCTTTGAAACGGTCAGAAAACTAGATCAAAAATGAGCGTTGCTCGGTGGCAAGAATAATAACTTTGAAAGGTAAGTTATGGATTCAAATTTACAACTCTAACATTTAAAAGTTCGACAAAGGAAAAGGCAAATATTTTCGATCGCTTTAATTCCTATTTTTCTGATAATTTTGGCAATGAGAAAAGAGTGCGATGCTTAAGCTAACGACGAAATTGGGAGATTGATTCAACACAAAGTTTTTGGTGGTCAATACCAACCCTGGTAGGGTACTAAGAAAAAGAAAGCTTTTATGGTGTTTTGATTTAAAAATCGTTGAGGCTGCCGGGGAAGTGTGAGAGCCACAAAAGGACTGCTTTAGCTATAAAATATTTTAAAAGCATTTTAAGCGAAAAAGAATTCAGGAGAATCAACGAATTCGTAAAAGTGTCAGTCTTTTAAAATTTTGAAATCAGCTACAGGTCCTTTCATCCAGTGGCGTCCATTTTGCTGGTGCTGCAGACTGACGTTGTATAAACATGCAGTTATTCTGTTGTTTTTTTTCTCCTAATTTTTGAATTTTGCGACTAGTTATTTCCACGAAAGACATCATACCAACTTCGCCATAAGTTTTGAGTGGTAACTTTGGATTGAGAGATTAAACATCAATATTTGATATCATGTAAAAGAAACGATGTATTGCTATATTTTGGAACGTAAATCACCTTTCGGCGAGATAATCTCGTTCAGAGTAAGTTACTCCAATTTTCAGAAACGACATAAATCAAAAGTATATAATTTAGGTCCAGTCGTTTATAGGAGCGCAAGCAAAACGTTTCATTGCAATAACTTCCAAAATAAATTATATTTACTGAATACCCGTAATAAAGTAACAATTTTAAATCCCAAAAGTCTCAACGGAACTCACAGGGTAAAAATTGAAGTAAACACAAAATATTACAATATGTGTATGAATAGAAAGAAAAAAAATGCAGCGCAGCGCAGCGACTTAATGGTCTGCGCGCTGGACTCTGAAGTTCGACCAAAAGCCTCTAAAATGTCTCTCCGTCTCTGCTCAGGACTGAAAAAAAATGACAGCGAAGTTTCATGGGAACCTGACGAATGCTGGGGTATACTCCACTGGCCTGTTACACTGAACAAATAAGAAAGAGTTGTTGCATTCATAACAGCTTCACGCTAACCGAAACTTGAACAAGCTTCGGTTATTACGCTAGTTAATCTTGTTCACAGTTGTTTGAAAACTTTGAAAAGAAAAAAAAAAAAAACATTCCCAAAATCGATTAAGAAAAAAAACAACAACAACAACAACAAAATAATTCTACCATTATACTTCACAACACTAACTGAACAATTTGTGATATATCTGCCTCAGGGAACCCGAGTTGGTAAATACAAAGGACTACGAACATGAAGATTACCAAAGCCTTGATAGTGCTAATTGCGGCCAATTTCCTACAAGGTAGGTTGCATGAAGAGCAAGGCAAACAGTGAAAAACCGTGCGAAATATTAAACGGCGCAAAAGTAGAGGCAGAGAGAAAAACGAGGGATCGAGGCTTAGGACCCAAACCTCTTTCGTTTTTCGTTACTTTGCTCTTAAAAAGACGTTTATTATCGCGCTTCCTTTTGCTGACTGATCGTCTGGGAATAGGCTAATGCAGAATGAAATGTATAAAAACTACCGTTTGTATCCAAGCGCAACCATTTTTCATTTTACTCATAACATATGCAACTGGAGACTTAAAATAGCATCAATAACCCACAAAAGAGCAGCCAAGTTTGTTTTGAGGAACGGAATATTTACAAACAAAAGGGTCCATGTTTTCGTTGAGGAACATAATCTTGAGTGCTAGCCCTCAAATGCATCAGGTTTTTTTGTTTTTGTTTGTTTGGTTGGTTTTTCTTTTTGGTGAAACAGTTTTTTTTGCGCCTTTGGATAAATGCCTAGCCACTCTCTCTCCGTGTTTTAATCAATTTCAGGTCTTCCAGTGGACCGAGAACTGTTACGAGTCAAAAGAAAAGGAGAGGGAGAGATAGACAACAACGAAGAGATCTTCCACAAAGTGCGGAGATCACAAGACGACATAGAAGCTGAAATAAGACGTAAAAGACGATTCTTTGCCCCAGATACACCGCTACAAAAGACTGCAGAAATTTACAAAACAAAAATGGAAGCAAGATCATCACGTTCATCCCGCGAGGATAGGGATATTACCGCAAAACGACCCGAGAGATTTCGTCACCGAATTAGGAAAAGAAGTCAAGACGGAAGTGTCATACTCCGAGGTGACACTTCCGGTTCCGGTGCTTTACCAGGATCGGGTTCTTCCGGTGCAGGGTTATGGATGGGACCACTATTAGAGAAAAAGCGGAACGATAAACGAAGCGCGGGTTCAAACTCGCTGGATAACCTAATAGCTACGTTGCGAGCGATCAGTTCTCTAACTCCTGATGAAGATGACAATTCGGTGGAAGAGGTCAAATCTTCTGGTTCAGGTTTGTGGCTCACGCCTGAAAGTGCAGGAGATGACAAATTGCCACAGTTTTTTCGGGAAGAGGCAAACTCTGGTAGCGGTGAAAACCCCGAGAAAGCTTTAAGGCTGTTGAGCGAAACAGCGCAGAGAGAACTAAAACAAAAAACAAATGAAATTGGCAGTGGTGTAGAGCAGATTTTGCCGAATGATGACAGAAAAGAAAGGAAGGAACAAAATGGCGAAAGACTCATTAGAAGAGAATTAGAGACCGACACACTTGCAGATGATTTAATTGCTGCCAGTGAGAATGAAAATGAAAGAGGAGACTCTGAACAGGAGAATGAACTGGCCTCAGGATCTGCAGATGATTGGCAGGAAATCGAAGACAAGATTTCAGAACAACCAGATGAAAAGGCTACGCGATCGCTAACAGAAGCCTTACTTCCTGATGCATTTTACCGCACAAAGAGATCATCTCAAGAAAACGCGTTTCTGGTGTCAGACAACAGTCTCGGTAAAAACGATGCCCTTGTTAGCGATAGTCTTGTGGCGCGGTTTTACCGCGATCAAGACGCACCATCCGATGACGTCACAGAAACGTCAGTGACATCCCTTCCTAGCGAGACCAAGTCCCTTTCTAGCCCCGCAGACCAACAAAAACCTGTAAAACGAGAACTGGACAATTATAACTTTAGAGACTTCTCAGAGCCAAGAGTTGTGTACACAAGGGAAATTAGAGAAGCTCGAGAACCTATCATAGAAAGACCAGCCGTTTACTCGCAGATTGAAGACGAGAATGACATGGAATCCAGCTTTGGGGGCGAGGACGACGACGAAGACGACGAGCCAACTTTAACAATTCATGAAAGAGAGATTAGAGAAGACGGTAGGATTAATAGTCCTCGCTCAAGCTTTACCGCAAAAAGTACTTTAAGTTCATAGTAAATTAGATCAATCTATCACGGTATGGTAGTTTTGGACGAGATGGCAGATTATGTCAGCCAATCTTCTTTCAGTGCTACAATTAAATCTACAAATTAAATTGCTTCTCGATCTCAGATAATTTTTGTGGAGAAAAAGTTTTGGACCGAGCTATTATAAGTGCAATTTAACTATTGATAAGCAACATGCGATTTGCAGTAAGCGGGGCTCATTGCATACTTTTCTCATTCTCTCTAAATAACTCGTTTAAATTTGGATGAATCTCTGGACTTAAGGATTTCAGTTTAAAAAATGTTCACGCTGAGCAAATAGAAAATGTACCTGTTTCCGGTTGCTAGGATACGTCGGCTGCTACGAAGACAAGTCTCCAGACCGAGATCTTCCTTCTATAGTCTCGGTCCCTAAACTGACTCCAGACTCGTGCCGCAGTGCATGCCGGACAGCAGGTCATGCGTATGCTGGAGTGCAGTATGGGTATCTGTGTAGGTGTGGTGACTCATACGGGAAGTACACTAAGGTTTCAGACGAAGAATGTAATACTCACTGTACTGGAGATCATGCTCAGAAATGTGGAGGATTCTGGAGAAGTGCAATATTCACGACTGGTAAGTTAGAGCTTTCTGACCTCTGAGCGCCACTGAAAAGTTTGACCTAAAGGACTGCCAGTAAAGGAAACAACATAGAATGATTTATCATGCAAGTTGTGCAGACATTTTTTTCGTGCAATGTCTTGAAGGTAACTGACAAAGGCCAGAAAAGTTCTCTCAAATCAGTAAGTAAAATTGTCCTAATAAAAACCACTATCAACGGCAAACTAATGTCTTTAAACTGATTTTTTGCCTTGTTTAATCTTTTTTGTATATTGTGCAAAATCAGTCATAGAGATCTTATGATATTGTCATTATCTTCTCCTTTCCCAGCCGGAGCAATGGAACCCACAAAACGCGGAAACTTCTTCCACATTGAGAGTGTTCAGCCCATGACAGAGGAAGGTGCATAATTTTCAGTATCAAAGTATTTCACATACGCAATAGCTTGGTTGAAGTGTAGAGTGTTTTTCGAATATGTGTCATAAACTAAAACCAAACCAAAGTAATTACAACGGCCAATAGAAGACAAAAGAAAAAAAATACTTTGAAGAACCAATGAAAGCCCAAAATGAAAACAAGCAAACCTCCTAGAGCGCGGGAAAACGCAGGCGACAAACTGGTGATTGGTTGTATCTGATTGGTTGAAAAAGAGGCGCGATTTTCTGTACCAATCACAGAGCGAAGAAAAGAAAAATCATTGGAATCCCGTATTGTTTTCCATGCTGAATTGAAAACTGTTCTGATGATTATTTTTCTTTGTTTAGATCTCTATGACATTCCTCGCAGCGACATCGCTTCAGGTGGTGAAGCAGAAGCGGGGGAACATCCGCAACCAGAAATCGCAGAAACCTCTCATATAACAGCTTCAGAATCCCCTTCAACCGAAGCAACGGCAGCTGAAGTGGTAACTACTCCACTTGAGTCGTCTGGGGATCACGTGCAGGAGATACACAGAGAATCATCCCTCCAAGAATCTCCTATGCAACCACTTTCTGCAGAGACAGCCGAGGAGGACATTTCTATTACTGCTCATGCATCAGGCGAAGGGCATCCATATGAGACAGCAGACTCTTCCTCTTCGCTTGCTCCAGTGTCTAAGTCTGCAGGTGAGCCCAATTCTGCACATGTTGCAGATATCTCACCTGCGCCCGCAATTTCTGAAGCTCCTCCTCAAGCCTCCACCCAATCTGAACCCAAAGTATCCTCAGATTCGCCAACAATAACCACTCAACCCGTACCGAGCGTGGTCCGTCCTCAGCACGACGAAACGCCACAGGGTACTCATGGGAGTCGACTGATTTACTTGCATCAGCAACAAGACATTTTGTCAAAACCAACCCCAAAAACTATTATGGCAGTGGCTCCAGGAAAGCTGAGGGAGGGAAGTAAGTGGCTGAAAACTGAGTCCATTTTTATTGATTTTGTTCTTTAATTTGGTTTTTATTATGATAATAAACCATTGACAAGAAGAATTTTATGTTACAATAGACCATGTCTTTCCTTTAGAATCGTTAATTTTTTTTCAAATACTTTTATTTTAGCTGTAGCCTACACGGGGACATTAAAGCTGAAACAAAGCTGGCTGGATCAGTTTGAAGACGCGAACAGCGCTGAGTCAAAAATATTAACAGGAAATATCGAGCAAGCGGTAAGTGATTAACTTACTAGGCCAACAAATGTGATGAATCGAGAGAAATAATGCCTACCAAACTGGTGAAACGATTCTAAATTTAAAAAATATTCGAAAAACTATATATTTCCATTTCATATGATAATTGTGTAAACTTTTCACCTTTTGTAAAACATCAGTCTATGTATTTGTCCATGTATTTTAAACAACAAATTCTGTTTGATAGTTTAACCGTGTGTTCAAGAATGAGCCAAAATTTGTCAAGGTCGACGTTGTGGGATTTAGGTAAGGATTGATCTTAGGGCCTGATTACATGAGCCGGGCTGGCCCGGTTAGCCGGGCTGATTTCTTTTGTTTTCACGCTTTCGCGAACACCAAAACAAAAGAAATCAGCCCGGCTCATGTAATCAGGCCCTTAGAATCACAAATTATCACGTATATTTCGCATTTTTCCAACGTTGCTTTATAATGATAGTTCAAGAGTTGCAATTACTCTATCAAGAATTCCGTATTGGGTTTCCATTGATCATGACAAGTTCTCCATGTCAGTTTTTCAAGTGAAAGATCTGATCGTTAACTCTCCCCACTAGCTGCTACGCATTTCCTTGCAAATTAGTAATGAGAATTAAGTGTTCGATCAAATAGCAACTTCCACCTGATAAGTCTGAGTATTCTCATTACTTAGTAATTTGGTTATATCAACTCAGTTGAAATTGTAAATTGGCCACCGTAACGAATAAAAAACCTGACGTTTCGAGCGTCTGACGAAGGGCTAACGCTCGAAACGTCGGCTTTTTTATTCGTTACGGTGGCCAATTTACAATTTCAACTTAGTTGATACAACCAAATTACCTTGTTACCCTCACCGACGCAGCACCACGGTTTCTTTAGAAACTTTTAGCCTTTATTCTCATTATTTGCTTGCTGGATAATGTATGGAAGTTAACTTGTAATCCCTTCATGGAGTTAAAGGGTTTACGATAAAGTAAGTCTTGTTGGGAAGAGTTCTCGAGAAACAAAATTGATGACTTGACAAGAAAACCGTAAACAATGTAGCAATTTTTTTTTTAAATGATAATCAGTTTTAAGGGTTTGCTTCAAAAACATACACTCCAGGACAAAGTTCAATCACTATCCTTTTTTCTCCAGGGAAGGCCTAGTGAAGCACAACCCGAACACCATACGCAAGGTGATTGCACCGTTCATTTTGACGTTCAAGAACGGCGTTCAAGGAATCGAGGAAAAGCTAAAGAACATGGTACAGAATGCGGGGAGACTTGATGATATGCCTGTGTATAAACACTCACTTCAATTGTCAGGTGAGGTGAAGATTTAGGAAAAGACGAGAGGAATTATTTCGAGAATTGCCGAGATAAAGGAATAGAAGTTTCAATTAGACACAGATTGAGAACAACTGTGAAGTCGGTAGAATTGGCGCGGAACCCAAAAAGGCTCGTCGACCTGCAGTTTGCTCTCTGCCAGGAGACTGTTGACGAGCTTGGCGATGAAGATACGATCACGCGACTACACATGTCTGCTGAACAAATATCATTATGGCACGTTGTACCGCATTTAACTTATCTCGTGGAAGATCAGTAAAAAAAGTTCAAGTTCCAAACATGAGGATTAAAATGCTATACTTTTTTTGTTATGTCCTCTCCTCCTTATTTATTTATCTATGTATTCACACATTCGCGTGTCGATTATTTTACAGAATATGGTCATTCCCCAGCTGTCGAAAAAGCACCGGAAACCATAGACAAGACGAGCAAAGTGGACCTCGTTGAGGAGGACAAGAAGCGAAGTGCTGTCAATATTCCAAGTAAGAAATCACTAAAAGAATTGAAAGTAATTGAGTGTCGAAAGTCTCTCAACCAGTCAAATGCAAAACATAAAACATAGGCGATTTGGTCCCTCGCATTTTCCCGCTTCAAGCAGTTTGCTGGCTATCATCTTGAGTTCTCATTGGCTAACGGTATTGTAAACCTTCGTTCTGATTGGTCACTGGGATGACTTGACTTTCGTCTTACGACACTCAATTGAAAAATGCTCTGTTAAACAAGCACCTAAATTTTATTCATTGCTAACGTGATAGCAGTATTTCTACTGTTTATCTTTGATATTCGACGGATTGGTTTTATCACTATACCATGATTGTAGGCTAATAACTCTCCCCCTCTGTCTGTAACTTGGCCAAGGGACATGAAACACTTCCGAAAACATCAAATAGGCAAACTTTACGAGATAAATTAAGCTGACGGAATAAATGACCTTAAAAGAAGTTATCCGCAACACTTAACCCAAAAGAGAATAAATGTACATCAGTGTAGTCGAAACCCGCCGTCTGAAACAGAATATGCAATGACCTTTTTGGAAAAACACACGAAATTAGACTTATTTCACCTCGTCCTTCTTTTTCAGACGGTGGAGTTGATCCTTTCCTTAAAGGAATATTTAGACAGATTTCGACGTGAGCGCTAGTTTAGGTTTCCCTATTTCAGGTAAGATAAGTCCATTACAAGCAGAAAAGGAAGTAAAAGCATGCTGAAACAGTTGGAGTAGAATACTTGACATAACCAAAATTAAGATATATTAAAACAGACGAATAAACAGACAAACTAGAAATAGGTCGTCTGTGAAACTTCAGAGTTTGTCAGTTTTCGCGATGGAAATATTATGATTATCAAAATACTGACAAGCTTCCCTTTGTTTGTCCTAGAGAAACCATACACATTACAGCTTTTTCTAATGAAAGACTTCTTCGGAAAGAAGAAGAGGAACTCACAAGTGTTTAAGGAATAAAGAGACTACAGGAGTGAATTGAAAAAGATCTACAATGGCCACTATTTATCTTAGAATACGTTACTCTGAACAGTGAATAATCAGTTTAAACTGTTACTGCTGGTCAAACCAGTATAGCGTTATTGGTAGTAAAGCACACCTAAAATGATCTGAGTTTGGCATATTTAATCAATGACAACTTTTCTAAATGGCACGATTCATTTGGTCAACCTAAAGCACACTTATTAATTAAATAATCTTTAGTAGAAAAAAATCAAAAGATATTACAATTTAACGTGCAGTTTTCCGAGTTTCAAAGATCCGTTTAATGCCCCTGGCGTTTTGTTGCAGAATGAAAAAGTGATGGAGGTCTGGGTACGGTGCGATAAGAGCGGCAGACTAAAAACGATAGAGGCTTGGGTCGAGTCGCGTTGTGCAAACCTGAATTTTTTGTAACTACTTCTAGGTTCAGCCCAAATCATTTGTAACAAGCTTTATTATGCGCTTTTCGTGCTGTAAAATTTGATTATCTGACAGGAAGTGGCTAAGAAAAGTGCTGCAACTATAGAGTACAAGATGAGAAGTTGCATGCTCTTTTTGTTACATAAATTACATATAATCAAATATCGTAATGGTAATTACGGAGGCCTTTAAGAATTCGTCTTGTTGCTTTCATGTACGTCATTTAATTTTCTAGTAATCCAGAAAAAACGTAAATAAAAATGTATTTTTCCCAGCAAAAGTCGTGTGGTTTCCTCCCTAATGAAGGCACGTGTTTTGTAAGGTCAAAAATTGACACAGGAAAAGTACCGAGTTCTTTGGATAAAGACCGCCGCTGTTGCCAGCCAGATTAGGGCTTCGGGACGAGCTTTTCTTTGCCCGCGGGAAATTATTAGGCCCAATAAGCAGTGAGCCGGTGGGAGATAATTAGTGCCACACCCAGCCAAACTCCTCCAAACTCGTCTCCAAAGTTCCCGAGGATGAAAAAAGGGCGCATCCTGAAGCGCTACTATTGAGGCCTGCTCCATTATTGCCAACCGCTGCCCCAAAGCCGCTGGAAATGTATTAAGAGTTAGTGTACTGTATTACAGTCCAATTGAGTTTGACTATAGCCCTGGCTCAGATATTTAGAGATAAGAAACCTAAACAGTGCTTCTTACCATTAACATCTGGAGTAGATACTGAGAACAGTTAGTGAAACTTCTTAAAATGTTTCTGACTGCCTTATTATTTGATTTAAATTCTTCACCTTCTCAAAGGGATAAGATACATAGTGAAGATAAATTTTAACTTGGTTAATGCTTTGAATTGCTTTAAATTGTTGATTGTTAAAAGTAATTAGGTTGATCATTTTAGTCTTTTTGGTGTATGATTGGATCCAACAACTGGCCACGGTCTTGACTAACCCTTGTACTCCCAGAAGTGATTAACATGTAACTTCTCCCTATAATATCCATGCATTATCCAGCAAACAGGTAAGGAGAATACTCAATCTTATCAACTAGAAGTTGTAATACTGATCCAACACCAAATTCTCAGAATGAATTTACAAACAAATGTATAGCAGCTAGAGGGGAGAATGAACAATCAGATCCTGGCAGTTAAATGTTTAGCTTATCATCACTAGATCATTTGCAGTTTTTTTTCCTGATGCTTTTTACATGTAAATACACTGACTTCTTGTTGGCTCATGTAGTCATCTTTGCTTTAATTGGATGTTATTATTAATTCAGCCTCACAAAGTATATACAAGGATATTCTAATATTTAAAGGTATCTTATTTTTTTCCTGGTTGGTTAGTTTAATTCTAAAAATTGGAGTCCCACAGGGTTCCCTGGTGGGAGCTAGGCTTTTGGAAATTTGCAGCGGAACTTGGCTTTATGATCTTTATATTAAAAAGCATCATACAACTTAAAGTGCAAACCATTTGCCTTCAGTGTATCTGAAGTTTCCAGTTAATGTTTTTTTGGTTCTGTGTAAATGGTGTACATCCTGGGTAATTACAGCTTGCTTCTTAAAACTGTGTGGCAATGACAAAGCAGTATTGAAACTGAAGCGGTTCTCTTATTTTGTTCAGGTTTGTTTCGATCTTCAAGTAATATTTGTAAATAAACTTGTTACAATCAGTGAAATTACAGTGGAACTTGTCTTCAGCGGTCATCCTGTATTAAGCAGTTAATTGTCAAACCCTATTAAACGGTCACCTTTATTTAGCATTCACCTCGCCTTTATTAAACGGTCGCCTTTATTAAGGGGTCGCCTCTATTAAGCGGTCACCTCTAGAAACGACCAAAACAATATCTGGTATCTTGTGTCTAAAATGTCATGTGCAAAATTTATAGCCTAAATACACAGAAATATCAAGAATCAAGTACAGTTGCGTTAAAAGAAAAAAAAAAAACAGATATGTTAAAAACACGCACATTTGGGTTATGTTATGTCCTTGGGTCTGTCAAAAAACACAGGCACATGTGGTCTTTTCCCAAAAGCAGGAGAATGTTGCCATCAGGGTGAAACTGCACGGAAGTGATCTGGAAAGTGGCTGAAATAAAGCCAAAAGGGAACACATGATATCAAGTTAATGAAATCGCCAAGGAGGGGAGTGTCCAAATTGATATGGCAAGGATTCTCTGGGGTAGACATATGTTTCTTGAAAAACCTTTCACAGACCAATAACAGACAAAGAAAACATTTGAAGTGAACTTCATTTTCGCACACGGAGAAAGCTAAACACAATCATGTTACCGTTGTGGTAAGTTAGATTTTAGGAGTTAAATTCTACTGTACTGTTTGTACAGGTGTAATTCTTGCAAAAACTGAGATTCAGCGCCATTTTTCAAAGTCTTTAAATTTGCAAGATTCCATCTTGAAACGTCCTGGAATCCTCTTAATTTATTCTTGTTTGTTCCAATCGATAGGCAGCGATTTTTAACGTCTAAACATACAATACAATAGAGAACCGAAGATAATTCAGGATTGCATTGGCTTTGCTTTACTTTGCTCTGTGATTGGTCTAGAAAACTCGTGCCACTCCTTCAACCAATCAGATGCAAAACTTAAACCAATCACGAATCAGTCGCGTACGTTTTCCCACGCTTTGGGCAGTTTACTTGTTTTTACTTTAAGCTCTCATTGGCTCTTAAACGTATTTTCCTTTCTTCTGATTGGCTGTTGTGATAACTTTGGTTTTGGTTTTACAACACGCAATCAAAAAGCGCTACATCATAACAAAACTCTGAACCAAGAGAATAACAAAATACCTTCTGTAGGTACTACCACCGACACGCAGCCCGCGGGTGACCACAAGTAGAGCTTGTTATTTCCGGTACAGACAGCTAGGCGGGGTTGTTTTGGATCCCATTGGAAAGCTAAGATATAAAACATAATGAACACAAGCGAAAAAATACACTCATTATCGTGGCTGGTGAAAATAACCCTCATTGGTAAGTTGACATTCACCACATGACACTCCATCCTTTAAACTCGAGCCATTTGAGAATCAAAGCTCGAGTTTCGATCAGTAAGACCCAATGCTCGCATCTCACAGGATCTTCATAGACGAAAATACCCAGTGGCCTAATAGTCACTGCGCGGGACTCTTTGGTCGAGAAGTCTGGGTCAAAGCCAAAACGGGCCAATGTGTTGTGTTCCTGGGCAAAACACATTTAATTTAATCTCACAGTGCCTCTCTCCATCCAGGAGTATTAACTAGCAGGGATTTCATTAGAGGCCGGCAACCGGCGAATTCTGGCGAATTCCTCCTCAGCGGAGCCGGCCACTATGGCCATTCCACCTCTCGGTTTTTGCGTGTTTTTTGGGAAACATTCAATATATTCTTAAGACAGTCATCAACAAAGGTATTTTTTGTTGATATTTTTTCTCCTTTTTGGTCGTTGGGTAATTTTTGTAACGAGTTCCAACAAGTCAATCAACAACATGATCGGTTCGCTGTGCGCGATGTTAAAAGGACAGAAGAGAAAGACTGGTGACAAATCTGCCCCGATTACCGCTGAACTGTCTTCTGCCTACTTATGTCCTAATATAAGGCGAAATTAATGCGAAATAAGGCGAATATAAGGCGAAATTAATGAAATCCCTGAATAAGTGTCAGCGAGTTGTCAGAAAAGCCTGATGAAATGCTTGAGGGTAACCTTGCGATAGATTACATCCCATTCTGGGGGGATTGCTGATACTCATAGTGACCCTTCGTGCTATGGAAACAGTAGCAAGCTCCGGCTGAATGAGCTACTGGGCCCGAGTATAAACTTTACGTACCCTTTTTCATAGACGAGACTCGTATTCGACTATTAAAAAACAAAAACAAAACACAAAAAACAAAAAACCAACAAACAAAATACTAAAGTGAATTCCCAAAAGGTTCCTAACAAGTTCCATTACTGACCTCTCACAGAACTGGTCTGCAATAGCAATGCTGAGAGACATAACTTGGACACATCCCATAACCAAAGGGCATTTGGCATGTTGTCTATGCAAAAGAAAAAAAAAAGGGAAAAGAAAGAAAGTGATGATAATCAACTAGAATTGCTTTGTGATTGGTACAGAAAATTCGTGCAACTTTTTGTTTTCGCTTTTTCCGTACTAAGAGCAGTTTTCTTGTCTTTTTTTTACGGTGGCCCAGAAGGCTCAACGCAAACAAAAAAATACTGCAGCAAATAAAAAATATGTTGCAGCAAATCAAAAATATGTTGCAGCAAATCAAAAATATGTTGCAGCAAATAAAAAATATACTGCATCAAATAAAAAAATCAAAACGCAAAGAAAAAAAGTACGCAGCAAATAAAAAAATGCACCGCAAACAAAAATACTGCAGCAAATAAAATATGCAACGCAAACAGAAAAAAAAAGAAAACGCAAACAAAAAAAGATGGAACGCAACGCCAAGGAAGACTGGGTAATAGTTCTTAGTTTCCCGCCAACACTCGTTTCATCCTTTGCTTGTTCGCCTTTCCGAAACCATGTTCTGCAGCGAACTTATGACAGTACTGGTACCATGCTGCTCCTTTAAAAAATCGATAACTCTATTTTCATACCCTTGATGAAAGTAATTTTCTATAATCCTACGCAGATCGCTTTCGTCCATAACCAAAAACGAGTTCCAGTTTATGCTGTTTTGGCGGGAAACTAAGAACTACTACCCAGTCTTCCTTGGCGTTGCGTTCCAATTTTTTTTGTTTGCGTTTTCTTTGTTTTTGTTTGCGTTGCATATTTTATTTGCTGCAGTATGTTTTGTTTGCGTTGCATTTTTTTATTTGCTGCCGTACTTTTTTCCATTGCGTTTTAATTTTTTTTATTTGCTGCAGTATATTTTTATTTGCTTCAGTATATTTTCTATTTGCTACAGTATATTTTTTGTTTGCGTTGAGCCTTCTGGGCCACCGTATTTTTTTCTTCGTACGGACAAGTACTGATAAAAATGACATGTATGCGTTATTAATCTAAGAAAGAAGACCTACCATTTTTAGTTGCTAAATATCTATTGTCTTGACTAAAGGCCACGTGCCCAACACCAAGTTTGGGGTTTGCCTTTTCTGGGTCAGGTTTAAGGATTGGAACTTGGACTGGGCCCGGCTGAACCTCATCTACGATGAAACCATGAACAATTAGATTCCATGTTTCCGTGCTTCTGCTCAGAACTAGAGACGCTTAATTTGAAGATCCGCACAAGGGGAGCGAATCACTAACATGAACTCTACACATTGCCTAAGCCAGAATGTTGAAGTAAATTATGTTGGAATGATCAACTTCGCAATTTTCCGTCGCAGGAACGTATTCAAGAATCTTTAAGTCTGGTGGAGTAAATATTCCCACTGCGTGTAAACCACTGCACGCGCGTAACTACACGGCACTGAAAAGGCGAGGGGTTGTTGAAGTACACGCGTGCGGGTACCCTACTTTTAAGATGGCGTCAAAATGTGGTGGGAACAACATCGAAGCTTAAATTATACAAGGCGCAATCAGGTGTGTTCCTGACATTCTAAACACATTTAGACGTCTTGTTGATCCTAGTAACAGCAATCACACGGTAAAAATACCAATGACTCACATTTACTCTGCACTGTAAACCCCCCAGGAGGCATTATCTCTCCTTTAAGCAAGGGTGGCTTCAGCTCCACCTCTCTGTATACAATCTACAAAATTTAAGAAACAAATTAAAACAAACTACCTCATATATGACTACTCAGAGCTCCACGATTTTTTAAAGTCACTATTTAGCAGCTTTAAGTCATGAAATGATCTCCAGGATAAAATTTTAATCGCCAGGAAAAAAAAGAAAGACACGAGTGTTATTTCATAACAAACTAAAGCGATGTCGACACCATTTGTTTCTTGAGTGAGTAGTGTAGCTGGCATTCATTTTGGAGATTCACGCGACTTCTATAATCAAATTCGCGGTAACAAGAAGACTTCATTACCACTGATGGAGAATCCACTGTGTGACTATGGTTGTGTTCTGCGACAATTTTCCACGTGACGTGGTTCAGTACGCGACACTGCAAAAGAGCAACAAAGTTCTTTTTAATGCTTTTCAAACTGCTACGTAAGAAATTATGTTGTCCTTAATAAAAATAATTTGATTAAATTAATATTTACGCTACAATTCTTTAATTTTTATGACGATGTACATTTACAAATACATTATCAAACTGTAACTCGATAAAGTCTTATTACGCGGAACGGGAGCCGCATACATTGTGGGTTGCCTGCACTCTCAGTTCTACCAAAGCTGAAGCTAAAAAACCAGGGCCTGTTTAAGAAATACGTAGTGTATTATGGCAAACCTACCTTTGCCATCAGCAATTGTAGAAGTACAAAATTCGGCAACATTTATCCATGTACCATTAACATACATCGTAGCATAAGCTATACACTTTTTCACTTTGCGACTTTTTACGTGAATTTTTAAGCTTTTATCTTCGGCTTCTTGCAATCTTATTCAATGGTGTAGATATAGGTTATTTACACGACATAGCTTTATTTTAAGGCACCAGTAGGTGTACTACAACTGAATAGTCCATTTTACAGTTGTGTGCTTGGTTGCCAAGCCTTTGAATGGGAGTGAGGCTGAGGGTGACCTTGTTATGATACAAACCTTGCTGCCTTTCAAATGTAAATCACTTTGTTATCATGCTAACTAGATACAGGTCTCTATCATGACAAGGTCACCTTCAGCCTCACTCTGAATCAAAGGTTTGGCAACTAAGTACACAACTGTAAAATGGCCTATTGCCGACATCAAGGACGGCTGACTGAAAGAAAATTTGACTGTGTCCGTGTCCATGTCTGGTTCAAGGTTAAGTGAAGGTGTTACAAGGCATTGTGTGCACCTACAATACTATTTTCATCATTTAACTGTTCCAAAGATACCTTCTCGTCAAAGCTACCAATTGCAAGAAACTGACTGGATGGAGACCAGCATACAGACTTGATTCCAAGAGCGAATTCATACGCACTGTATCTTGATAAGCAACGGCCATCCATTGAATAAACCAATAGTTCATACTACAAGTAGAGCAAATACTGTAAAAATATATCTTATCAAGTTGATTACATCAGGCATACTACATTTTTAAACTTACTCTGATTTTGTCATAGTGACTTTGTGGATGGGGAGGGGAGAGGGGGGAGGAGAAGATAGCGGAAAGGAGAGGAGGGGGAAAGGAGAGGAGGGGGACAGGATTAATACTCATGATCTTAAAATAAGTGAGGAGAAATTGCTACCTTTCTATAATCAAGAAATGGATAGATATTCTAGACGGTTAGGGGTAGGAGACGTTAATTTCCCACACACGAGATTACTGTGTCGTGGATGTCCTCTCCTGGGGTGGGATGGGTGGGAATTGGCCCCAAAAAGCCCCCATGGGGAGTGGTCAACTAACCTATGTATGTATGTATGTAGGTAGGTAGGTAGGTAGGTAGGTAGGTAGGTAGGTAGGTAGGTAGGTAGGTAGGTAGGTAGGTAGGTATGTATGTATGTATGTATGTAGAAGAGGAGAGAGGAACAGGAGAGGAGTGGGGACAGGAGAGGAGGGAGGAAGAAAAGGAGGGGGACAGGAGAGGAGGGAGGACAGAAGGGGAGGGGGGACAGGAGAGGAAGGGGACAGGAGAGGAAGGGACAGGAGAGGAGGAGGGACAAGATTGGAGGGGGCAGGATAGGAGGGGGATAGGAGAGGAGGGGGACAGGAAAGAACTGGGGCAAGAGAGGGGTAAGTAAGAGTCAAGGAGAATAGTGGGTGGAAGGGTGGGAGAAAGAGGAGATGCATGGGTTAGTACTAATGGAGAATTACAATTACGTGAAGGGAAAGGACATTAGTGATGTTAAGGGGGGGGGGGGGCTGTAGGGCTCCTCCCTCCCTCCCTCCCTCAAACACCTACAGTATAAAACCAACTTATACCCAACAAAGTACTGCAACAACTGTTAGCACATGCATTACATTTACTACACAGTTTCAACAAATAGAATGAATATTACTGACGGTACTTACTCTTAAGAGAGAGTCCCATACACAAAGAACTCTACCATCGGGTGACCACGCCAAGTCAGCCAAATCATTTGTTTCCACCTCAAAATGCTGAAATATTGAAGTTTATTACCAGTCAGCTTCAGAAAACTGTTTAAAGAAAATACACTGACATGGTCAATTGTCCAGAATCATCTCTTGAGTTAATAGTCTTAGTGTTTATGTATATTTACCTTTACAAGCTGCCACGAAGAGCAAGCAAATATACTTATACAATCTTTGCAGTTTCTTCTTTCAGCTAAAGCCATATATTTACCATCTTTAGTAAAGTCAAGCCCTGTGTGTAAAGATAATGTTTATTCGGAATTAGGGTATATGTATTCTTTAGTTTAAACTAATTGCATAGTTCGTAAAAAACAATCTTTAACTAATTTGATTGGTACTTCCCTTTGTTCCACACAACATTTCCATAATCATTAAATGAAGACGATACCTCAAAGTACACCTTGAATTCACTTCAACAAAGCCACACCCTTACATGGTTTATATGCTGGCGTTTACAGTAACTAGTGTCATAGTTTCAAATCTACTCAAAGACGTTTTTGAAAAATTTAACATATGTTACCAAAAAATTTAGAGAAATTTTAGAGAACCACAGTATTTCTTAATACAGTTAGATGGCACATTGAAATGCCTGATGTATCAAATTACAGATAATGTACTTTGATACAAAGGCATTCAGTTATTTAGCCTGCAGTGCAGGCGGATTTTGGCAGGGCGAGTGGACATTCCTATCAGTTGTTCAGACCGCCATCTTGAATTAGAAAAACAGTGGAGAGTTGGGGCGAGGTAAAGAGTTTACCAAGCTAGTGGGAGGGAGAGAGAAAAATTGGGGAAGGGGGAGGGGAAAGAAAAATCCTTCCCGTCCCCCCACCCACTCCGACATTCTCGCATTCTCGCCCCAATTCTCCCAGTCTGCAGCGAATCCAACATGGCAGCTAAACACTCGAAAGATGGAAACCACCATCTTTCGAAACCAGTTATTCAGTAAAGACTTATCACTTTGTACATAGACATAAAAAAATACCTGCATGTGTGTGCTTTGGATACTTGATGTAACTTACAGATTTGTTAACCAGAGACCAGACAGAAATTCTCAGCTAAAAAAGGAATGAAAAGATGAGTTAACAATAGAGAGCGCTTCTCAGGGGAGCACTTCATATAAATTGTTCCAAGCTGCAACCATTTTGGTTGCATGACAAGTATCAAAAAAAATTTTTTTGTGCCTAAATTTGCAAGCCATTATTTTGGCGACGTGTGTTTGGTACTCATTGTTTACTGTTTTATTGTTTGTTGTTGTTTTTTTTTTTTGCATTAGTTTTCATGGTTTATAGTTAAATTGAGAACAACACTGGCATAGAAGCAGGGATTTCATTAAGAGCTGGCAACCAGCAAATTCCAGCAGCTACTCTCCACAAGGGAGCTAGCTACTAGGACTCTTTGACCCTCTGGTTTTCGCATGTTTTTTTGGAAAACATTCAATATATTCTAAAGGCAATCGTCAGTAAAGGTGTCTCCTTCTTGGTTGTTGGGTGATTTTTGTAACAACAGGATTGGTTCGCTGTGTGCCACGTTGAATGGACAGAAGAGAAAGACTGGTGACAACTCTGCCTTGATTAACACTGAACTATCTTCCACCTACTTATGTCCAAATATACGCCTACTTTCAAAATTAATGAAATCCCTGTGGAAGATTCTGCAATATTGCACGAATGTCACCCTTTTTCTTCCCTTCCATTCTTATTCATGATTGTACCTCCCCAAATGGTGATTTTGATAAAAAAAAAATTAAGCTTTGAGCCATGTTATGCCACATTTTTAGAAGCTACTTACAGGCTACAAACCTCCATCCAAATTGCAATTCATAGCAGGAATTGCCTTGTAAACTGATCTATACTGATTTTGGTGAGCAAAACCATACAATTGGTTCATTTCTAACAAGCAACAGTGCAAGTGCATCCTTTAAAATATCAGTCATGGTGAAAATGTAGTCTGTAAGTGCCACACACCTGAAAATCTGCAGTGGACAGAATGTGTCTTCCATCTGGACTCCATCTAACAGCAGTCAATCCTGCTAATCCCTCATCAATCTTACAAGTCCAGTCTGGTTTCTCTAGAGACCAAACCTGAAGTACATTCAAAATTAAAACTTAAGTACTATTTGATGGCAGTTACTAAGAAGAAAAATTAAAGAATGTATTGATATGTCCCCAAAGAAACAATATTTTGTATGAACTGTTGTATTTGTTATACAATTTAAACTTTTACTGGGATGTACTTCTACCTTCAAAATTTCACCCTCCTTGTAAACTCTGAGTTTTCGTTACTTATCCTTCCCATTATTTGTTTTTTAAGAACTGGAACATTTTTACATTTGAACTTTCTGTGGCACTATTTCTTTCATCGTTAGTACCTTTTTTTGCTATCTTTAATCCTTTACACCTTAACATCACTTTATGTATTCTCCACACTGAATAAAGGCTGATAGTTTCTAAATAAACTGTTTGGGGCTGTGTCCGTGGGGGTAACGAAATAATTTGGATATATCAACAAAGTTGAAATGGTAAATTGGCCACTGTAATGATTATGAAAGCTGATGTTTCGAGTGTTAGCCCTTCATCAGAGCTCCGCAGAAGGGCTAGCGCTCAAAACGTCAGCTTTTGTAATCATTATGGTGGCCAATTTACCATTTCAAATTTGTTGATATATCCAAATTATTTTATTCTCCACACTGTTCTCTATAGATTTTACTCGGTGTCCATCTGTCACACAATTTGTCATGGTCTATTCACTGCAACTATGTTGTGAAGAAAGCACGCAAGCGGCTCTATGCATTACGAGTCTTAAGGAAATCAGGCCTCCCACCAGCAGATCTTATTCAGGTTTATTGTAGCCTGGTATGGCCCATTTTAGAATTTGCATCTCCAGTGTGGGCTGCGTTACCTGCTGGTCTGGTTCAGTTGGTGGAAAGCGTTCAGATGTCTGCACTGAGAATCATATTTCCAGATTGCTCTTATGAGTCTGCACTCGTAAGCTGTGGCTTGCCTACTCTGTTGGCGCGCTACGATGAGGCTTGCAGGCATTTCATATCTAACATCAAGCAGTCCGGCTTCCTTGCACACCTGCTGCCACAGCCCACGAATGTCGCTCATGGGTACGGGTCGAGGTGTGGTTTTTCCTGTTCTCAATTCCGCTTCATCAGAACAGACCGCCTTAGTAAGTTCATTACTCACAGTTACAATAGGGCTTAATTGTTTTTTTCTTGTTATGCCAAGTGTATTGTGTTCTGTGTAGAATTGAGTGAATTTTCTTGTCTCCCTTGCAATTTGTATAGGTAATCACATGATTTCGAGTGCAATTTGGAATAAATAAGCACAAGTAAACTTTTTCAAAGACTAACAAAATTGCATGAGCCCTATGGGCTCATGCAATTTGTGGTCTTTGAAAAAACTTACAAGTGTTTATTTATTCCAAATTGCACGAGAAAATTATGTGATTATCTATTAATAATATACATGAAAAAATACGAGGTAGCTTCACATAACTACGCAGAAGAAAAGCGCRCGCATCACATGCAAAAATAGTTTATTCAAACCCTGCAAGTGACATTGACCTTGACATTGACCAATCATTCTGACCAATCAGAATGTCTGGTTTGTTTCTTTCTTTGCACTGAATTAACTCTCTTCTGCACTGAATTAACTCTCTTCTGCACTGAATTAACTGAGAACTGCATTCATCTTAACGAATCAGAACTGAGAAACTTTTTCATGTATATTATTAAGTGTTTAACACTACCAAAGGGTTAAATAAACTGATTATTCATTTAACAATCAATACATGTAGTTTCTTTAGTTGGTGATGATTTCTTTTATTGTCATGACCTTCAAGTTAGATTCAGGAGTGATGCTAGTTAAGAGAATTTGGATGCTAGTCACTCTTAAAGGGTTAAACAACCAGCTTTATCCAGAAACAACTGTTTGATGATTAAATATACAATGTAACTCAATTGTTTCCATTGTTACAAAAAGTGTTTAATATCGATTATAATATTTATATTGTAATGTTTTCAGCAGGAGGGTAACTGGTTTTCACAGGTAGGAAAAACTTTTTGAACTGAACTTCTTCATAAGACAAACTTAATCCTCCAAACCAGGTGGGCAAAAACGTCCTCACAACGAGTCAATTTGCCTGGTACCTGGCCCTTAATGAAACCCTTGCTAAGAGAGACTACTGTAGCATGCACAGTAATTTCTCTTTACAATATCACCCCTGAATCACATATTAAGGTCAGGAGAATAAAAGAAATGATCACCAAAAAAAGAACTCTTGCTCATTAAACAAATTCTCCTTATCAGCTCTTAGGAAATGCATGAAAAACAGAATGGAGAATATGCAGACAGGCATTACATTGTAAAGGATTAATCAATGACATAAAGACAACAAAAACAACTCAAAAGAGTTCGATCTCTTCTCACTATTAATTTCAAGTCACTCCTTACCAGCCCTTGAATTATTTTTTAATCTAAGTACAAGAACACTGTTAAAACATACTTGAACCAGTCCTCGTTTTAGCATTCCGCAAAGTATGTAAAGAGAATCAGATGACCACTAAGAAGGGAAAGAAAAATAAAATGTAGTTCACGAAAAGAGATTGAATCTTCCACTCCCATGAGTAACCGACACTTAATTTCTCCTAACATGATCAATACAGTATCAAGCAGACAAGAGAATAAAGAACATTATCAACTAGGGGTTATCATTTAATGCAACATCTAATTCTTTGAAATAACATTACAGGGAATGTATGACGTATAGCAAGGAGAAGAAATATTGAGCTAATGACAAGATGATATGAATGTTGGATCAATGATGCTGTGGTTTCAATAAACACAACCAGAATTTGAAATTACAAGAATTGTACTATCTCAGTTCTTCTATGTGAGTATATACGTAATACGTACCAATTATAAAAGTAAATTGCCTTAAAATCACTATCGAAATAAGTTGCATTTTTGATGGGATTTGGAGTACGTTGTTCCGAAAACAAAAGTCTCTATGTGCCTGTAATAAAACTTTTCATGTTCTGTGGGGTAATCATGAAAGTGACGATGTAATTTACTGTGCGTCTCTAATAAATAATTTCTAACTTTTACCTCTACATGTTGTACAACATCTAAACAGGTGTAGAGCTGGAGAATCTGGAGGGTTTTAACATCTCTTACAAGCAATCGATACTGAACACAACTACCCTGGTAATGCAAAAAAATATATATTTGTTAGTACAACGCAAACGAGATCAAAAGATCGATCAAATGACTACTCGCTTTCGAACTTACCAAATATTTGCCATTCGGTGAAAATCTGCTCAGTTGATTTGTCTGTTTAAACAGTTCCGAGAAGTTCATCTCGACTGATATATTTTTCTTTGAACAGCTTAGTGCATAACTTACAACCGACACTCGAGGAAATTTAAATATCGCACTGGCGCCAAGTGCGGTCTAACATTTCGAAGAAACCCGCCATAATAAACTAAGTAACCAAGCTTAACTATAACCTTTACTGCGCATAAGCCCTACTCCGCCCGCTGAGCAAAGACCCTGAATGCTCGCTCTTTAGCGTAATACGTGTTTTTATTCTACAGGACACAATTTGAAAGCCACAAACATAGACTTTTTCAGAACAATGAAGCTCAAAAGTTTCTTCAAAAACATCCCAACACATATGGTATGTTTATATTGGAATCATCTTTACTCTGTGTTTTCTCTTTGGCTATCAAAGTTCTTTGAGTTTACAGGTGAACTGTCATAAACGAACCAACATTATCCTCTGTTGTTACAGGACTATGAAGGACAAAAACTAGCAGAGCGACTATTTCATATCATTATCCTGTTTTTTGGTGTAAGTGAGATGTTAATTACATGTTTTCTTTGATAGTACGGCTGACATGTGTTGGATTAAAAGATTTATTACATCCATTTTGAAATAATTAGTGATCCTTGTAATCTGATTGGCTCTCATTGTTGCGATTTATACTGGGACCGCGCCATTTTATGCTCTAAATGGCATCTTTTTTCTCAGCCAATGAGATAACTTTATTAAAGCACAACAACCAATCAAATTAATCAAGGTCTCTTTAAGTAATCAACCAAATGGCAGGAAAATGAGAGACAACTTTTTACAAACCAGTTCAATATACTGGATCAATAAAATGTATAGTGCGGAATAAGAAAAATTGTATTAAACAATGGAATTTTGCAATTTCAAAATAGTTGTAATAAAATAATGGGGTAATTGACTTGAGCGTGTACTTGTGACAAATCAAACTTGGCTGTGCGCTTTTTTGATTTTGAAGTCACATGTATAATTTCAGCTCAAATTGCACTCCACTCAGTTTAATAACCATTAGGGACTCTGTGGTATTGCATTGATCTTGGGAGTGCCAAAGGGGAATTGCAGAGTTTAACACTTTTTCTTCCTTAAAGCTACTTGTTTTCACTTACCATCTGGGTGACCCTGGTTGTGAAGGATGATGTAAACTTTGTCATTGGTTTACAGAGCTATTTTAAATACATTAAGTGTCGCAAGTACTCTGGTATTGCTTGTTTTTCCTTTACTTCCCTATGGTTTTTCTAGAAAGCTCATGCAAATCCCTTAACTAATGAGATGTACAACTAAAACTTAACATGACTTGGTTGCTCACATTTTTCTGCACTTCAGCCAGCTGTTTAGTCAGTTTTACTTTGAGTTCTGTTCACTGGCTCTTAAACATAATTTCCTTTGTTTTGATTGGCTGATATAATGATTGCTTTACTTTTGGTTTTACGAGGCTCACATGTATTTGAAATCTGCCCCAAAAATGGAATGTGCCTCAAGAATAGGATCCCCTAGTACTTGGTTTCAGGTCACCTTAAAGTGCACCTAAACCCAAAAAATTTTTTTCGCTTAACGAAGTAAGCTTACTTTTTTGAGTATTTCTGCGCAAAAATTTTTTTATTTGCTCAAATCTTCAATTTTCTGTGCCCAGTCAAAATACCGAAAATCGGCCGCCATCTTGCCCCACGACCGAGTTTAAAGAGGAATGGCTCTAGTGGGTAATGTGACGTCAAATCGAGAACACGAAAGTCTGCATTTCACACATTTTCACTTGTTTGGGAAGGTTGTAGTCGATAATTGTCCGAAAATATGCCGACTAAGTGTGTTGTAGAAGGATGTAGCAACGTGCGAAATTTGCAAGAGGGTATCGCGCTTCATACATTCTTCATACAACACACCTAGTCGGCATATTTCGAACAATATCGACGACAATCTTCCCAAACAAGTGAAAATGTGTGAGATGCAGACTTTCGTGTTCTCAATTTGACGTCACATTACCCGCTAGAGCCATTCTTCTTTAAACTCGGTCGTGGGGCAAGATGGTGGCCGATTTTCCTTATTTTGACTGGGCATAGAAAATTAAAGATTTGAGCAAATTAAAAACTTTTTGCACAGAAATACTCCAAAAGATAAGCTTATTTCGTTAAGCGAAAAAAAATTTTTGGGTTTAGGTGCACTTTAAGAATCATAAACTGTGATTTTAGGGGTCTGAATTGAGGGTAGAGGTAAATGTTTAAACTTAAATTAACCCTCTCACTCTCAAGATGTCATCAACAATTCTCCTTACTTTCTGCCATACAGTTCTTATGCTGTTAGTTTGGAGAATTTAGTATTGAATCAACTGATAATATCGTGATTTTCTTTTTTCTTAATTTCATTACTTGTCTGGTTGATATTTTGTTGACATTGCAAGCAGAAAATTAATTCAGTCTCAGTCACTGATGGGAGTTTTAAAAGGGTTAAGTCTTTGAATGGACATGAATCCTTCCAAAAGCCAGAAAGCTTTCATTATAAGTTAAAGTCACTGATAGGGTATCTGTATTTGTATGTCCATGACCAAGAGGGAAAGGTTAGCCATACATGGTGTATTTGTGAGTGCTTGTACAATAAAAAAAATTATAGTAAATTGAATTTTCAGTATATCTTGATGGAATATCGAATGAAGTGAAATAAAATGCAGATGCGCTGCTGTGGTACTAGTTTTTTGGTACTTGAACATTTTGTTTCACATCAGTTCTATGAATTTTTTTTAACTAGATGTCTTTTCTTTGAACTGTGGTTTACTTGGAAACTACTACCAACTTAGCTAAAAGGCCACACATTGAGAGCAAGGCAAATTTTAGAGGGTTCTCCTTTCTCGTGGATTGGTCTGCCTGTGGCACACTTAGGTGCTCTTCAGGCCTCTTCTGTCATCACTTTGTGAGAAAATTTATTTATTCATTGCTCATCTTCTACTTTCCTTTCCTTGCCATTCATAGCGTTCTTTTCTTTTTACTTTGCAATTCAGTCTGTTTATTTATTATTAGTTTATAACTTATATGTTTTTTAACAGGCTGTAGGCTTTGCCTGGGGGTATTACATACAACAGTTTGGTGCAACTATAATTATTCTAGCAGCAGGATTCATTGTCAGCTGTGTGGTGAGTACTGGAAAATTTCCTTGAGTTCCTTTGATGCTCAAAAACTTACATGAACAAAAGCAATGATTTTTTCCTTGTTTTTAATTCAGCTCTGTGTTCATAAGACTGACTACTTTTAAATAATACCAGGTAGTTACAATTTTTAACACCTTTCCATCATGAGCAACTTAAACAACAGGCTCCGGTTGTTCAAAGGACGGATAACGCTATCCAACGGATAAATCGCTATCCAGCGGATAAGTGTTACCAAAACGTACTGCGCTATAAATGGTTTTTGCTACTAGACAGTCTCTTTCTTTTCTTTCTCTTACTGTAGAACAACCGGGGCCAGGTGGCCCAAGCTCTCTTCAAGAACCACACAAGGAACACAATCTGCATATAGATTTATAAGGATTTGTATGGGATTTTCTAAAAAATATCCATGGAGATAGTTAAAAGTGAAAATATTAAATAAAAATTGAATAACAAAAAAAAACCAGGATTAAAAAAACGCTTAAATCAAGTTAAATTGGTAAAATAACGACACCAGGAGCAAACAACACACATACATGTATTGAATAAGGTAAGCCATTTTTATTTAATATTTTCACTTTTAACTATCTCCATGGATATCTTATAGAAACTCCCATACAAATCCTTATAAATCGATATGCAAATTGTGTTCCTTGTGTGGTTCTTAAAGAGAGCTTGGGCCACCTGTGTTTAAACCTTCCCAGGGCATTCACAGGACTCCTCTCTCAATTATTCTCAAATTGCCCACTTGGGGATCGGAACTCTTATAATTGTCATCATCAGAAAGGAAGTTTTATTGTCAGTGGTAGAAAAAAATGTTTTTTAGAGGATACTGGACCTTAGTCCGGTGTGAGAGGCTGGGGCAGATCCAGGGGTGGTTCAGTCAACGCCCCCTAAATTATCCCTCAAAGTGCTGGAAATCATGTTTCTAAAGACTTTATTTTCAAAATCTCCCAGGGGAGCATGCCCTCTGACAATTTTCCAAACCCCCCTTTGACTAAATCCTGGATCCAGCCAAGGGACGGAGCAATGATGTGATTATTAAGCAGACACCAAAAAGCAGAATGCTTGAAAATATGAGTTTTATCAGTCAAACCTGATGTATACAGCAAACTCGTGTTCCCTTACAATACCTCTGCACTGCTGACTATCTGTACTGTATGACGTGTTTCAGCTGGTGTTACCTCCATGGCCTATGTACAGAAAAAATCCTCTGGATTGGCAGAAGCCACGCCCAGAGAAAGCTGACACCAAGAAAGAAGGAGGAAAAAAGAAGCAAAAGTGAATTCTAGATTACATCCTGGTAGAACTAGCTTTGTAATAAAGTATTAAAATGTGGTTCCAAGTGATCAGTGTTAGTTTGTATGACCTAATTACTTTTCATTTTCATAATGAAATGGATTTATTGCAAGTTCCATATTGATCAAAATTTTATACATTGTCAAAAATGATGACTGAATATGAAAGGATAATTAATTGGGTAACCTAAAGTTTCCCACTGTCCTGAGTTTAACCTCCTTTAGGGTTCAACTGGCCTTGATAATTATTACTTGAAGCAGTTGGAATAGCATACAGAGAAAAATAAATATGCTATTCTGTTTGTTTCGTTGCCAACAGCATATACATTTGCTCGAAATGCTCTTGTGGGAAGGCATGGCTTATTAGGATTATTGGTCCCGAAGTCAATTTATAGGATAGTGGTTATGATCAAAAGTTTCAATTGAAAGTAACGATTTATGCACTAGTGTGTATTACAAACCTACAGACTCGCATAGTTACTTGTTATATTCGTCTTCGCATCCATCTCACGTTAAGAATTCCATTCCTTTTTCTCAGTTTCTAAGACTTCGTCGTTTATGCAGAGATGACTCTGATTTCCACCACAAATCAGAGTCAATGTGCCAGTTTTTCGATAAACGTGGTTACCCTGTTTCTGTCGTTCAAGCGGGTTACCACCGCGCCCAACTTATTGATCGACATTCAGCACTACAAACGTCGCATAAGGAAGATTCCGACCGCATTCCATTCACTCTCACGTTTCACCCTCACAACCACTCAGTTAAATCCATCATTCTTAAAAACTTTAAATTACTTCAAAACGATCCAGAGACAAGCACTATCTTTTCGCAGCCTCCGCTCATTTCATTCAAACGCGACAAAAACATAGGCAATTTTTTGGTCAGAAGTTCTTTTCAGACTAATGACCAACCAGGCACTTTTAAATGCGCTCGTGCACGATGCAAAACGTGTCCTTTCATTCACAACACTGATAAAATATCGGGACCTAAACGATCCATTAAGATCACCGATCACTTCACGTGCACCTCCGCCAATGTAATCTATTGCATAACTTGCACTTATTGCAAAAAGATATACATCGGCGAAACAGGCAGAAGACTAGGTGACCGATTCCGAGAACACCTTCGAGACGTGGAAAGGAATGACAAGGACACATCGAAACCAGTCGCTAGACATTTTAATTTACCTAATCATTCTAAGC